AATTAAAAATTGTCGAATGATAAAGATCATTTATAATCTATAGGAAGTACAAAATTTTGTTACTGTACTTTATCACAATGTAATGAGCAATGGATCGTCGGTACGATGCAACGAGAATTAAACAGCGCTGATATGCTGTATTTACTAATTGGACTGGCATTTATCATTGTTCCATGGAGTGTTCTCATATGTTACATCAGTTGGCGATGCATGAAAATTACACCAAACATTTTTTCATTATTACTTTCGCGCAATATTTTAAGTAACATTCAAAAATGCTTGTTTGTCCTGACTATTTTAAATGTAAGCATGATAAATTAATTAATGAATGTTTAATTCAAATGACAGGATTTAAAAATAGTTCATTTCAATTTTTGCAAAATTACATAAATTCTAACGCATGCTATTGTATTAAGAATAGAAAACGAATGATTCACTTTTTAATAATTTCGATAATAATAGCTAAAAGCTTAAAAAGAATTTTTACTTCTTTCTTTTTCTCTCTCTCTCTCTCTTTTTTTTTACAATCAAAAGTTCATCCTATAGAATTAATTAGTAAATGCTTATTAATGGAATACTGTATCGCGGAAGAGCGTATAAATTTTATCATTAATTTATATTCAGATACTCCTTTCCATATGTTTACTTCTTTCATCGTTAATTCCGGCAACTGTTACCTGTAGAAGTCACGGTGGTGGACGTCATATCACTGAATTGATATTTCTACCACAAATATTTATCAATGCTTCACCGCTAACTTTATTTTTCATCTCATTCGGTTTTCTACCACTCATCCATATTCCAGCTGTTATATTTTCCATGATCGTTACAGTAAGTTATTTGACACATCGTTTTCCTTTTTCTTTTTTTTTTCAATAAAAATTAATCTTCAAATAAATACTTCATTACAGCTTGAAGGAAATATGATAATAAAAGAGAAATTTGGAGGTATTATCATATAAATTGATAAATGACAATTGAAGAAAAGTTAAAGACGTTTAAACGGAAATAGATTAATTTTTACTTTTAATTTTCAGTTTTAACTGAAAATTCTCTGTTCTAGGTTAGTGAAGAATCTTCTCGTGTGCACGCAATAAAAACATTTATGATGTACTGCGGTACTGTATTCGCAATTATTTATTATCTATCGGCATATTTCATGGGCAAAGCAATTAATTCATTTGTGGAATCATTTCATTTGGAATGCACTGTTAAAAGAAAACATTGGATGGTAACATTTAATTCAAACTTTTTTTTTTCACTAATTTTTTCAGGATGTAACTTAAATGTTGCAAACTGAGAAAGTTTCATAATCAAAATAAATTCATTTTCGTATTGCAAATTTAACTTCAAGTTTAACTTTGATAAATATTTTTAGTCCGAATTTTAAAAGATACTGTAATGCTCATAATTTGTTGCTCTTCATTTCATCTTATAAATAATTATTTCACTTCAAACTTTTGTTTTTTAAAATCTAAAATTCAAATCTCAATGTTATTTAAAAATATCCTTAAGCACACTTTCAATATCAGCTACATTTACAATTACTACCTTTTCCTCATTAAGGAGCATTATCATGTTACACGGCTTGCAATCCACAAATGATAGGAATCCCTTCTAAAATTTAGTAATATCACAGACAGAAAGAGAGAGAAAGAGAAAACAAAGCAAAATAAAATAAAATAAAATAAAATAAAACAAAATAGGTGGCAGTAATACTCGCATACTTGATTGGTACCTTATGCATGATAACTGTTATTCTCCTTATTATCATCCGGTTGACTGAACCAACCAATAAGAAGAAGGATGATCCTTTAATGAAGAAAGATGCGGAATCACCTGAACAAATAAGCAATGTATCAATAAGTACAGCACATTCGGTACCACTTCACGTCAACCGTGACACTATCGAACTTTCACCACAGGTTAGCAATCTCAGGAAGCGATCATCTTTATTTGATAAACATAAAACAAATAAATGACGAATTTCTCTATGAGCTAAAAGATGCATCAAGCGGAATGGTTTAACAATATTTTGCTTCATCCATCGCTTCTGATAAACTGATAAGTCGATATTATCGACGGAAAATGAAATGAATTAAACATCTTGATAAATCTAATGATTGTATTATTTAGTTTCTATCAATTATTTTAACAATACTTAATGATTTTATTTTTGTTTAGTTCATCTTATAGCACAATCCTTTGCCGACATTTTCCATTTAATTATTATCATTTAATTTTTGTTATACATCACTGATTAAATCATTTATTGCTACTTTATTTGCTATTACTTCAAATTTTCGCTATATTAAAAGACAAATTTGCAAATTTTTATAACTGCAAAAAAGTAATTTTTATTTTTTTATTACTGCAAAAAAAGTAATTTTTAGCCATTTGTCGTCAATAACGATAGCAATGGAATTCTTAGTCTGAGAAATGCTTACAGTAATCAATGGGTTGCTATTCGACTTCTTACAAACAATAATGAATTAAGCATTCATCCAACCAAATTTCTATTACCACCAGGACGTATCAGTGCTGTGAGTAATTTATAAAATTAAAAATTCAGTTTTCATCTTTTTCATTTCTGGAAGTAAAGCAATGATCAAACTATAAATAAATTATCGAAAAATAGACAGTAATTGAAGTTATAATTAAAAAATCATGATATATTAATTTCATAAAATAAAAAAAAATGCAGTTGCAAAGTCATATTTAAAATTCAATCCAAAATCATACTTTATTACTTCAATAATAAATTCATACAATTAAACTGTGAAAAAAAGAAAAAGAAGAAGAATGAGCTCATTCATTTATATTTAAACTTTAAATATTGAAAATTACTGAAAGAATTAGCCAAATGAATTTATACAATAATTGAAATAATAAGAAATAGACAAAGCAAATACATTGAAATACATTTATTTGATAGTATCAGTTAAAATTTTTTCATCTCATTTTAGGCTGAAATAACAATGCCAAATAAGATAATGAATGAAAAACTATCTAACCGACTTCTTGTACAATGGTATACGATAGGAGCATATTGTCCAGGACGAAATGTTAATACTCTATGGACAAGACCATACTATGTACCACGTCATTAATGGCATTACAAAATTATTCCAATCTATTCCAATTCTAATTAATTTATTCAATTTGATTCAATTTCAACTATCAAATATAAATTAAAT